TTCACTCAAATTAATCAGAAAACAATACCAAAACCAGCCGATAAATTATGAGTTAAAACAGGCAGTGGCGGGTCAGTTTCTGTTTTTTTTGGTGTGACAATAAATTTCGAAAAGTACCAATAGTGAACAAAAAAAAAAAGCCGCTTTTGAAACTAACAGTACACCCATGTAGTCGCATCAATTTTTTAGTGTGGCAATTGCCACACCTTGCCATCACGTCGGCCCGTCACTGAAAACAGGAAAATTTTCAAATCAACATCCAATGAAAATAAAATGTTTGCCAACTGAAAAGGCACAAAATGATCATTTACAAAGAAGCTCAAAGTATTATATAACGTTTTTGCAAGTTGTTTTAAGATGACATACTATTAAAATAATGAAAATGAGACCTTTTCTTTTTAAATTCAATCTCATCAATGCAAGGTACACTCAAATGGTGGACTTTTTAGATTAAGTGAGTCTTTCTAAAGCAGCAAAATAAAATTTAGTTTGTAAAAGTTTTATTTGATCTGCAATACCTTGAACCTAGTATATGTTATGGTAAATATGTAACGAATAAAAATGTACGAAAGGTTTCTAAATATTACAGAAAAAATAATGAATTGATTTACTAACGATATATTTTTCGTCAAAGCTTTTTCATTATTTTCGCAAAATAACTACTTCACAATCAGCTATAAATGTGACAATTAGAAATCATCACCGCGTTTTGCTATTAAATAATTTTTCATTCTCTTTCTATGCTTATATAATATTAAGAGTATCATTTTTTGGAATTTACATAATTCTTTTTAAGTATACTCAATTTTTAAATGACTAAAGAAAACAAAATTGTTTCGTATGTCAAAAAAAATGTACTGCTTTTGTTTTATAAGTGGATAAGATGCTGTATGTATTAAACTACTCATGTTGAACAAGATTTTGACATGAAAAAATAAAACAATGGATTATTCTGTTTCTTGTTGTTTTCTATCATAGTCTAAAAACTATTTCATTTATCATCCTATCTCTACGTTGATCTTTACCTTGTCTCTGACTCTGTATGAGTACAAAAAAACCGCAAGCATCAACGAAAAGTGCGCCATCAAGAAGAGAAGTGAAAATTAATCAGAGCAATGAGATTGAAAAGCAACCACAATCACCGGCAACGACCATTCTAGATTCGAATCAATCAAAATCAATATTGCCAAAAACTTTTCGAAAATTTAGTGCAAGTACTGTAACATCACTGAGTACTGCGATTACTCAAAAATATCCACTTCAGCAAACAAGGAAAAGGTTCGTTTTTAAAAATCATAGAACGTGATAAATTCTCTGTACTGATTCTGATGACTTCAGAACACTAACCGTAAAACCTTACTTTTTCTAGCGGTCGACGATCAAGACGACATAAGCCAAAAGAAAGCTTCATTGAAGAACAAGAACAGTTACCGAATTATCATCCATGGTGCAAAAAATATTCAGCAGTAATCACTCGTCCACTATTAAAGAAGTGTATGTCAAAGGATCCGTTTCATCCATCATTTCGTACGCACCAAGTAAATGAAACAATTGAAAAAGTACCAAATTTATTGTCGATGCAAGTTGTAAAAATGACTACGATACAAACACAAAAAATGCCTCGTACATGTGAGTACTATAATCGTTAGAAGCTCAAATATTACTTTACAGCAATAATCGGAAATTTTACATTGTATTTTAGCCAATTCAAGAACGTCAACTCCCATTATAAGATATGTACGACGATTACCCTCTGAAATGACATTAGCAGATGAGAAAGAAGTTGTTGAGATAATTGAAACCACAAATCCGGAAAAAACAATTTCATCAACTAATGTGCCTCAAGTGGTTATAGTCGAAATATCAAGACCGAATACTGCAACGACACGTCTACTGAATAGGTCAAAATTAGTCGAACAGTTAATCAGACGACCACCACGACGTATTTACAATATGTCGAGAGAAACGATTGTTCCACTTGCCGTGTATGGTTGAAAAGCGGCTGTCCTATCCCATCTACTGTTTGGAGCGTGTTCGGAGCATAAAACTAGTAAAATGTCTTTTGATTCGGCTAACATAGCGAACTATGATTTTTCAAGCTAAATATAACAAGTAACTAGTTGGGAAGAAGATAAAAAGTAGAATCACTGTAAGCATATTTTTTTATTTTTAATTAAAAGGTTCTCAGGATTGAATTTAAAAATAATAAAAATGATCA